AGATAAAGGTACAAAGAATGAAGGGATGGACAAAGGGTAAGAGACTATAGAATGAACAGAGAATGAAGGAGTAGTCAAAGGAATGGAATGATGAAGTAAGGAAGGGTAGTAGTAAGAGTCAGTATGTATATAGTTCATAGACAGTGTCTCTGAGGGATGGAAGTCCTGAGTTCTGGTACAGAAGGGTGCAGAACCCTCAGAACTGAAGGTAAGAGAGTAGAGAATCATAACATCACCCCCCCTCTAAAACCAATCATCCCAATTGGTGAACATTAGGCTTGGTTAGTGGCTTGAGTATAGGTCAGAATGGTAAGGCTTGGAAATCTGTGAGGCTGAGTTTGTGCAGAGCACTAGGATAAAGCTGATAGAAGTCTTGAATTGTCTTAGGAGTATGGGTGAGGTTCTCAGCAGGTTCCCAAGTATGCTCCTCAACTAGGTACCCTTTCTAGTGAACAAGGAATTTGAGTTTTCCACACAGTAGCTTAGTATCTACTATGTACTCTACTTTGTATTCTGGTTCAGAACTAATGAGTTTCAGTAGAGGTAGTAAGGGTCTTTGTTGTAAAGGAAAACCTGGATTGTAGTACTGAGACAGTAGAACCTTGTTGAACACTGGGTGTATACACTTCCATGTTGCCAGAAGTTGGAGTTTGTAGGTAGAGGCACCAACCTTCTTTTCAATAACAAAGGGTCTAAAGCACTTATTGTCTAACTTCTTCATTAGGCAATCTGTAGTCAGGTTAGTGGCTTCCAGCATAACTTTGTCACTAGGCTAGTAATCCTTGGCTGTAGACCTCTTCTGATCATAGTTCCACTTTATAACCTGTACTGCCTTTTCCAAAAGAGCTTGTGTGTCCTCCCTAGTTCTGTACATCTATTCTACAAAGTCTGTTATGGATTTGGAACTGCCATTCCAGTTTGGAACTGTCCCCTAGTATGAATGTCTCTCATGATTAAGGAAGAATAGGGATTGTCCTGTTGTAGAGTGTTGCTAGTTATTGTGTATGAATTCTGCCAGAGCTAGCCATTCAGACCAATCTGATTACTAATGATTGATGAACATCTAGAGGTAGAGCTTGATCTCCTGATTGACTTACTCAGTTTGACTGTCAGTCTGTAGGTGATAGACAGTAGAAGGGTTCCCTTAAATTCTAAGAAGTGCATATAAGTCTTACATGAATTTCAACTCAAATTACAGTCTACAATCATGAATGAGCTTCCAAGGGAGTCTGTGTAACTAGAAGATGTGATCCTGATAAATGTACACTATACCTTCAGAAGTGAGTTCTGTTTAGGTTGGAACTGTGTAGACTTGCTTGGAGAATTAGTCAACAATCATACAGATAGTGTTGTAACCCTAAGACTCAAGTAGTTCACTAATCAGGTCTACTAAGACTTCTTCCTAAGAGTGATCTGGGATCCAATACAGATGTAGAGGAGCCCAAACCCTTGTCTAGTAGGCTTTAGTCTGTTAGCATGTATTACAACTAGTCACATACTTTAGGATTTCCCTCTACATTCTGGGCCACCAGTAGTTCTGAGTAATGAGTTCCTACATTTTGTGTCAGTCTGAATGTTCTACAGTTGGATTGTTGTAATGAGCTTGGACAATGTCCTCCCACAGCTTCCAATCCTTCAGAACATACAGTTGGCCTTCCTAGTAAACCTGTCCATCCTCATCCTCCTCCCAATCCCTTGCCTGCTTCTCTAGCTACTTTACTACAACCTAGTCCTGTATGTGTCTTAGAGCTTACTGTATACAGGTGACAAAGTCAACATCCTTGGATTCAAGTCAGATCTCTTGGATTGTCTCAGACACAAAACAGGAATTGTCTAGGAGAACAAGATTTTTGTTATTATTCTCCCTCCTTTCATAACCTACTTGTCTTGAGAGTAAATTAGCTTTTGTCATTTGTGTTCTGGGTTTGTGAGTCAGTACAAAGTCAAAGTTCTACAGTTCTAACATCTAGTAGGCTTAGTAGTAGTTGAGCTTCTAGAGCACCTAGAAGTACTAGAGATTAAGGTGATCACTCTAAATCTCAAACTTCTGTACAGTACTAAGGAGATATTGACACTACTCTTCTAGGGAACAGACAATTGTAAGAAGTTCCTTGTTATAGATAGGGTAGTTCTGTTCTGTTGTAGAGAGGGATTCTGATCAGAACACTATCAGACACTACTTTCTATCAATGAACTAGGACAGTACTACTCTATTTGTAAAGTTGGAAGAGTTGGCTTC